CTTCTGGTTTGGGGGGTGGCCAGAAAGTCAAAGAAAGCTTTGCAGCAGTGGCATTTGAGCCAGGCCTTGGAAGATAAAAAAACATTTGTGTCCTGTACTTAGTAGGAGCTTGGTCAAGACAACACAAATATTAACAAAACTAATGACCTGGATGATATTAATAAGCCCTAAACAAGGTGCACAACACATGTGTGACCATATTCTTCAGTATTCACTTTACCCTAGTGTGCTGATTTCGTTTGGTTGTCATATCCATGTTCATAACAATACCAAAATAGATTATAGAGACCAAAATCTAATATTGTTTCTTTTTCATGATAAACATCTTTTATTACATCTTAGTGTGCAAAAATACAAATTATCTTAAAAAAATACAGAGCACTCTCGCTACGGATCTGGGCAAAGACATGACGAACAAAAATTCCCTAACAGATGACAGTGAACACTTCAGTGGATGGGAACTACAGTAGCCCTGTTCTCATTATACTATGAAGCCAAATTAATCAACTTTGATGATACACACTTAAACTATCAAAACCAATTAAGGCACAGTATCATTCAAAATTTATAGACAGAATAGCAATAATCCCAAGAAAATATAATTAAAATACTCTGCTGCACATGGAATTATACATTTGTAACTTAACACTGGCAAAATTTGGAATGATTATAGCATAAGAGACATTGTTTTTCTGAAAAGTGGACAAGGAGGTGTGGTATATAGGAAAGTGGCTCAGATTCAAGACTCAAGTTTATTTTTTAAAAGATCTCTTCTGCATTAGATTCTAGGTTTCTTTTTTGGTTTCAAAACTGGGTCCGCAATCCATAAAAATGACATTAATGAACACAGCGTAAAGATCTTAAAAAGAATCTGATTATACCAGCAGTTTGGTAACATATTGGTAGAGCTGTTCCGTAAATGCTTCAGAGGAAAATTTTTCCTTCACCCTGGCTCTTCCAGCCAGGCCCATGGTGGCTTTCAAGGAAGGTTCACGGATGAACTTTTCTATTGCTTCTGAGAAGTGCACTGGGTCAGGCTCACACAGAAACCCTGTGACACTGTGGTCAATGGACTCCAAGGGTCCCCCTGAATTAACAGCAATGACTGGGCACTGCATGTACATAGCTTCCAGAGGGACAATGCCAAAGTGCTCATTGCTTGGTGTGTAAAGCACACACGTGCAGCTATGGAGGAGGGAGATTTTCTGTTTGTCTGAGAAAGACCTCAAGAAGGTCACATACTGGCCAAGGTCAGACTGTTGGACCATTTGCTTCAATTCCTGGTAATGTTCCACATTCTCCAGGACTCTCTCGTCATAACCACCTGCCATGATCAGATGAACCCTCTCCCAATCTTGGGATGTCAATCTTCCACGCAGCTGTACTAGGGCTTCCAATGCCAAAGTCAGATTTTTCTTCCTTTCGTATCTGTTGATAGAGAGCAGCAGGAATTTTTTCCCCTTGGGAACTAGGTCATCAAGCTTTTCAGGAACAACTGAGTCAAAGCTGGTGACATTTAGAGATGGATAGAGGACATCAGGGTCTATGTGAGACAGGGACTTGAATGTTTTCTTAAAAACAGCAGCAGTGAACTGGCTGTTGACTAAGATGCAGTCTGCCATGCCTGTGGTGTATTCCTCTATCCAGTCAATCGGGGCCCTGTATAGCCGTTTAAGAAAAGAATCTCTCTTGGTGAGAAGCAGATCTGGGAAGTGACAGTAAAACAGGATCTTCTTCCGCCGTCTAGCCAGCCTGAACACTGGAATACAGGCGGACACCTAGCCAAAGCAAAAATCAACAGCAGATAAAGTGGTCAACTCAACTTCCACCAAACCAAAAACACAGACACCCACCCTGCATGCTAGTCTGTGGGCTCCTCATAGGAAATGTCTACTTCTGTTTTGTTCCCCAAGACTCTCAGCCAGTACCATATGCCTGGTGTACAGAAGGCTAGAGACGTTTGCTAGATGTGTGCTAAATATTTAAAGCTTCAAGTCCAGTGGTTTCCTCTTGAATAGTGCTGTCTAATAGAAATCTAGTAATATTAAAAATGTTTTCAAGGGTGAAACTAATTTTAACATATTATTTACCCAAAACATTATCATTTCAAAATGTAATCAATACTAAACAGTATTAATGAGATACTTTATATATACATATATTTCACGTTAAATCTTCAAAATCAGTTTGTATTTTAACTTTAGCGCATTTCAGTTTAGACTAGCCACATTTCAAGTGCTCAACAGCCACATGTGGCTAGTGGCTACCATACTGAACAGTGCCGCTCTAGATCTTTCTCCTCCTAAGGAAATGAATGAATGAACTACAGTAGTTGAGAGCACAAGCTCTAGATTCAAGACTGCCAGGGTTTGAATCTCAGCTCTACTAATTGTGTGGCCACGATCAAGTAATTTATCCCACTCTGGGCCTTAGTTTCCTCTTCTGTAACATGGTGACAATTATAGTTCAAAAAACCCATATAATTTTTGTGATGACTAAATGCACTGATATATGCAAAACACATGGAATTTAGCACACAGTATGTGCTCAATAAATATTAAAGCTAGTCATCATTGAGCATGAACTACATGCTGGCATTACTACAGACTTTCTTGTTGGGTAATCTTTACAAGTCATTTTAGTCTCAGCTAACTTAACACCTGAAGAAGGTAACTTTAGGCATAACGTGCAATTTATTCAAAGCCACTTAATTAAAGCAGTAGATAACAGAACTTGAATCCAGGATGCCTATTTCCAAGTCAATATTTTTCCTCTACCCACTATAGTCTCAGCTGCCTCATGCCTACTGACACATGCAGGATGTTTGGTAAATGTCCATATTACTTAAAAAGAAAGCTTCCATGCAAACAAGGATGATGAAAAGTAACTCAGGAGTCACAATTAAAGAAACACAAATACAAACGTGATGCCATTTGCACCTATCAGTTTGGCAAAGATTAAAATGGTTAGTTTTAATATCCAAGGCAGACAAAAGCATGGATCATATATTGTTGGGCAGTAAAGTGACACAGCCTCTTTGGTAGATAAACTTGGCAGTAGCTGTTAATATTTAAAATTAACAACTTTTAGACACACCAACTTTAGGAATTTCCTGAAAGGACGTATTTGCAGAAGTACAAAAAAATAAAAAAAAGAAAAGGATGTTCATAATAACACTGATGTATTCACAAAAAAACTAGTCACAGCATTAGTGTCCTTTAAGAAGAATGTTTAATTATGACACACTTAAACAAAAGTGGATTTTCTGGCCACTATGAAGAATGAAGTGAATCTCTAATATTGATACATAAGAATGTCCCGGCTGGGCACGGTGGCTCATGCTTGTAATCCCAGCACTTTGAGAGGCCGAAGTGGGCGGATCACGAGGTAAGGAGTTCGAGACCAGCCTGGCCAACATGGTGAAACCCCATCTCTACTAAAAATAGAAAAAAATTAGCCGGGCATAGGGCGCGCGGCTGTAATCCCAGCTACTCTGGAGGAGGAGGTTGCAGTGAGCCGAGATCACGCCATTGCACTCCAGCCTGGAAGACAGAGCAACTCTGTCTCTAAATAAATAAATAAATAAATTTTTGTTGAAAAAGAAGGAAGATGCCTAAGAGTAGGTATGTCATAATACCAATTATGTACCAATAAGAAGATATGCCTACGAAAAGAGACAGGCTGGTGTCACCACAACTTCTGAAAAAATACAAGAGAAACTTAACGGTGGCTATCTTCAGGGAGTAGAATAGGATGGGGCTTTTAGGTTACATCCTTCTATTTTTTTAGTCGAGTAAATGTTTAGTCGAGTAAATGTTACTTTTTAAAGTCATCTTTTTTAGGATGGGAAAAATGCATAAAGGAAAGAGTCGAGAATAGCTACAGGGCAGATCCAGGTGGACATTATTAACCAAGGTAAAAAGCTTGAACTTTTTTCCAAAAACCAATGGGGAGCCATGTACAAGTTTTAATAGGAGTATGATATATTCAGCTTGGCGTTTTTAACACATGACACTGCTGAGGACGGTGTGGCCTGGCTCCGAACACAAGGACAGCGGGATGCAAATGGTCTGAAAGGAGAGTCAACAAAAATAACAGATAAGAGATAAGACAACACGTGAGTTACTCATTAGTAAAAGGTGACTGAAGCTGACTTCGAATAACAGCGTTTCTCACAGCGAGCCCCAAGGACTAGCTGCATCCAAATCACCCTATGACCGAGTTAAAATGCAGATTTCTGGGCCCCACCTCATGGCTCCTGGATGAAAACTTCCTGGAGAGTGGAACCCTAGCAACCTGCAACTTTAAAAATCTCTAACACTAAAGTTAGGGGACCACAGGCTCGCTCCCAGCCCTGACTTCTCCAGGTCAGTTCCGATCTTTCCAAACTGCAGACAGGCAAGGCCCTCTCTCAGGGGTCATGTCCGCGGCCGCGCTCCACGGCGAGGTCCGCACTCGCGCAGCCGGCGCCGCGGCCGCCTCACCTGGTCGCACACTACCACGTCGAACTCCTCGTCGGCGAGGAACAGCACGTAGAGCGCCAGGAAGACCATGCGCACGTAGGCGCAGACGGCGGCGCCGTGGCCGCCCCAGCCCAGGCCGCGCGGCAGCCAGTCTCCGGCACAGTGGACCGGTAGTTCGCGGCTCTCGGCGAAGCAGTGGCCCGGGTCGTAGTGCGCTGTCCAGATCTTCACGTTACACCCGCGCGCCTGCAGAGCCAACGCCGCGTCCAACACCAGACGCTCAGCGCCTCCTACGCCGAGGTCTGGGTGCAGGAACAGCACCGACGGCTTGGGAACCAGGTCCCGTTGCCGGGCCTGCTCCTCCGCCATTGCCCTAGAGCCGCAACTGCTCCCCGCACCCTGAGGCGTCTTCTGCGCAAGCTCCACCCCTTAGCTCCCAGCTGGCCACTGCGGGCCGACCCCGCCCTGCCGTACGTGCGTCAGTTAGGCCACATCAGCGCAAATCTGTGAGAGCCTAGTAACTGCCTGAGAAAATAGCTTGTCTGACCCTGGTTATATTTTTCCTTCGGTAGGGATTGGACTCTATGAAGGACGTTGTGATCCAAAGGAAGGAGGCTGGAGGTATCTACTTCCCACATAGCAAGTAACTAAGTTATCTGTAGCAGACTATCTACAGGCATATCTTGAGACGACCCAGGCGTCCCTGGAGTCAGCGAGGACCTTGCCTGCAAGTCCGGGGGCGGGGCCTGAGCCTGTCTCGCCAGCTGCCGGTCCTTCGGCGTCTCCGCAACTTTTCTTCCGTCAGCGTCAGCTGCTTGCCACCGGTATCTCCAGCATGGTATGGCGTCCCTTCCATGATCTCCGCCTCTTCCAGGAGCCCTGACTCCTCCTGCTTTGCGCCGTGCCTTTCCTCTGCAGCTCCCTTGCTTCCCCCAGCCTCGGGTGCGGGTGTCTAGGCCGGGGTTTTGGGGGCCGCGCTCACCCGTCTGTCTACTTGTCTCCCGCTACAGCCTGGTCCGACCCCCAGTGGTACTAACGTGGGATCCTCAGGGCGCTCTCCCAGCAAAGCCGTGGCCGCCCGGGCGGCGGGATCCACTGTCCGGCAGAGGTAAGGAACCCTGCAGTTCGTTCGATTGCAGAGTCGGAGATAGGACCCAGGAACTCGCTGGTTCTGGGGTGGAGACCCTAATATATGAAGATTGACAGGGGCAAAATGAGCTTCTAGTGACGTGGCCATGGGAGTAAAGGCTTTTTGGGAGGAAGGCGACATTTTCTTCTCGTTGCTCAGTTTAGGGCACCACTCTTAAAAAAGGAAAGTTAACAAACTGGAATAGAGTCAGAGATAACTTTGAGAAAACCGATGTCATTAAACTGGTGTCTCTGGACCTGAGGTTTGCAGTCATATTTCCATCTGGAGGCCCCATAAGCAATCTGTCCTACAGATAACTCGTCCTACACAAAACTTAGTCTCTTTTCAGCTCAGCTCTCTCACTCTCAATTATATCTCCTTACTTCCATATGGCACTGTTGTACACTCATTTACTCGGAGCCAGAAACGTCAGCGTCATCTTGGATTTTTCTTATGCTCTCTGTCTATCCAGTCATATGCCATACTTTAAACTGTACTTGAAAGCCTTCTCATAAGCTCTTTCCTTCTCCCTTCCTACTGCCCTGCATTTGCTACTTAACCTTTCTCCTCAGCCTGTTTCCTTTCCAATCC